TGGTTTGCGAAGGAAGCGGGCCGGGAGTGATGTGGCTGTCACCCTCGCAGGGCCGTCGCCATGTCGGTGTCACACAGCTCCAGGCTGAACAAGCTGGTGCGGGAGCAGTACATGAGGCTGCCCCAGGATGGGAAGGTGCAGGTCACCTACGTCTGGATCGACGGCAGCGGCGAGGGCGTGCGCTGCAAGAGCAGGACCCTCGACAAGGAGCCCAAGAGCATCGAAGGTACCGCCGCTGCTTATCCCTCTGGGTGATGGGTGGCATCCTAGTGGGCCCTGAGCATCGCCTGGGAAGAGTTCTGCGGTGCTTTGGGCAGGGGGAGTTGGCACTCGCTCTCCCTGGTTGCGTGGCACGGGTGATACCTGTCGCAGTTGTCTCGTGGGGTTACGGCAAGTGGCAGGGTAAACACCCAACCTTCGTCGCTGCGGTTTCCTTAATCCGTTAATGACAGGGAGGAGGAGTTCCTCGCCCCTTCCCACCAGGCAAACAGGCACGGGGACCTGTTGGCATCTGGATGGGGTTTGGCAGAGGGAGGTGAAGGGGCTGGGACTGATCCTGCCTGTGCTGCTGGTGCTGGGGGGAAAGAACACACTGGTGCTCAGGGAGCTCCGGGGATGTGCAAGGAAACCTTTGTGGCTGTCACCCCGTGGCACTCGGTGCCCTTTGGGTGCTCCGTCCTGGGTCTGAGCCACCAGCACTCGGCTCAATCCACGTGTGATGTACCTCTTCCCAACCCTGCTCCCCCCTCTATCCCCCTTCTGCCTCTCAGATGTCCCCGAGTGGAATTTCGACGGCTCCAGCACGGCACAAGCAGAGGGCTCCAACAGCGACATGTTCCTCGTGCCCGTCTGCATGTTCAGGGACCCTTTTTGCCTGGACCCCAACAAGCTGGTGCTCTGTGAAGTGCTCAAGTACAACAGGAAACCCGCAGGTGAGCACCTCCAGCGTGCACCCACCAGGCTCCCGAGGGTCACCCATTTATTATTTAGGGTGCCATATCCCCAAGGGGCCACTTGCCATGGACCACTGGCCCTGGGGCACCGAGCACTTGGCCCCGGGCTCTGAAATCCAAGGGCTGGTGGCGNCACCTCCAGCGTGCACCCACCAGGCTCCCCAGGTCACCCATTTATTATTTAGGGTGCCATATCCCCAAGGGGCCACTTGCCATGGACCACTGGCCCTGGGGCACCGAGCACTTGGCCCCGGGCTCTGAAATCCAAGGGCTGGTGGCGGCGGTTGTTTGCAGGAACTTGTTTCAGTGGCGTGGGGCGAGGAGGAGAGCAGCGAGACGTGGAGCTCAAGGCCAAAGGCGTCGGCCGGGTTTTGAGCTGAGCACACCCGGCCCGGGGTGGGGGTTACCGCGGGGGAGCAGGAGCTGGGTTTTTACATGCCGGGTTCGCAGTTGCTCTCCTCGTTGGTGGGAGGCTGCGGAAAAGGAGGAAGAATGTGCCGGGCTGGCTCGGGGTGACCTTTTGCAAGCAGCCCCCGAGCGCCGGCTCTGGGCTTATCACCGCGAGCAGGAGCCTGCAGTGCCGAGCCCGTCCCGTGCCTCTGATAAAGCCCCAGACACAGGAAGGGGAGCCGGTTTGCAGGACACGCTGAGGGGCTCCCAGGGGGGTTGTTTGCCAGCAAATAACCGGTTTTTTGCCAGTCCAGCAGGGCTGCGGCCCCGCTCAGCGTGAGGGGGAGGGTGATGCACACATCTGCCGGGAGGGGGGATCCTGCGGGCGGCGATGGCGAAAGACGGGGCTGGTTCCTCCTCGAACAGCCAGTCGGCCACGGGGGAAGCGTCTCGGTCGAGATTCCTGCCCGGCAGCTCCTCTGCAGGAGCAATTTGTAAAGCCCTGGAGTTGAAGCCGGGGGAGAGAGCTCAGCCCACCCTCCAGGCTTTCCCAGGATGGATTTCTGTGGATATTAAGGGCTGTGTGGACCCGGGACCTTTCCCCCTCCTCCAGTCAGTGGAAGGGAGATGCCCCTGCTTCCCTCCAGCCCTACACTCCGGACATGTGTTGTAGCTGCTCTGGGGCTTTTATTGCAAGTTAAGGCAGAATGTGCACCCTGGAGGCTGCCTGCCCACGTGACAGAAGTTTTTCAGCCTTCTTTTCCTCCTCTGTCTCCGTCCAAGCTCTCATTCCACTGTCCTGGCACGTTGTCTCATGTCAGGATGGTTCCTTGATATCTGTGTTTTCCTGGCAAAGCCCCAGTTGCCCTGAGCATCTCGAAGGGATGAGGCAGGGCCAGCCAGCTTGGATGCCAACCAAAGCCATGGAGCTGGAAAAGATAAGATGAAGTTGGTAGGAAGAGGATGGGGGTGAGTTAGTGATGGAAGATATACAGTCCCTGTTCCCAAGTCTGCTGGATACCTGTAACACAGGGCTGGGATATGGCTCCTGGTCTGAGAGAGAGAGAATAAGAGGAGGAGGAGGATGTTCATGGAGCATTGAGAGTGGTTTGGGGAATAGGCTAATTAAACCCTCTTGGCCTGTGGCCTGATGCTCTGGTGATGGACTAACTGTGAGGAGGAAACCAGTGAGCAGGAAGGAGGTTTCCTTGAGGGTTCTGTGGGAAGCACTTGGCAGTGGTGGACCCTCCATCTCTGAGCAGGGTGGAGCAGAGTGTGGGGGACAGCTGCTCACAGCTGGGTCTAACCTGGACCTCTCTGCTCCCAGAGACCAACCTGAGACACACGTGCAAGAAAGTCATGGACTTGGTGAAGGACAGCCACCCCTGGTTTGGGATGGAGCAGGAGTACACGCTGCTGGGAATCAATGGCCACCCCTACGGCTGGCCCGACAACGGCTTCCCCGGCCCGCAGGGTGAGTGCCCCCTCCCTGCCCCAGCCCAAATGCTCCCTCAGCTCCCACCTGCTGCTCGGGGGTGCTGCCACTGGTAGGCATCAGACCCTGGACCTTGTGTGCTGCTTTCCCATTGCAGCTGACACGGGCCAGGATCTGGGATGGGGTTGGGAGCTGGGAGAGCACCTGGTGCCCCGTGGCTCACGTGAGCTCACCGGCCAGACCCGGGTTGCACAAACAGCTCAGCTGCACGACTTGTTTGGCAAGGGCTGGAGAACTGGGCTGGAAAAGCCTCCTCCCCGTGGCTGTTGGGGAAAGGGCTTGGCCTGGCACAGCAGCAAGCCAGCTCCTCAGATGCCTCCTGGCAGGGGGAAGGGGGTTTTCTCAACCTGGCTTTTGTTTGGACGGGTTGCTACCAACATCCCCCTTCCCCCAGGGGCGAGATCTTCTCCTGACCTGCTTGAAAGAGAGAGAGCCATATATCAAACCCTGGCAAGCTGAATTTTCTAGCCATGAACAATGCTGGCTGTTGTCAGAACAATCTCAGACGCCTGATGTGCTCAGAGGGTCAGTAAGGTGCCTCAGGGCAGACCAAGCCCAGCTTTCCTTATCTCCTGGCCACATCCCTTATCTCCTGGCCACCTCTAGGTTGATGCATTACAAGTCCTGTTTAACTGCCCAGATAAGGCTGAGGTTGCTCTGATGAACTGCTCAGCTGCTGCTCCTGGGGTTGGGGTCGATGTCCCATGGAGTGCAACAGCATTTTAATTCCCATAAATCCTCTGCCCATGGCAGCAAGTACCCGGGAGTGTGGGATTATGCTGCAGTGGTGTTGTTGCTCCCAAGAGCCTTGCTTGGGTGGTGATTCCTTGCTCCTTTCCAGGCCCCTACTACTGTGGGGTTGGAGCAGATAAGGTGTACGGGCGCGATATCGTGGAGTCCCACTACAAGGCATGTCTGTACGCGGGGGTGAAGATCTGTGGCACCAATGCAGAGGTGATGCCCTCCCAGGTACGTGTGGGTGGCCCCATGCAGCCCATTTCCCACCACGGATACAAGTTATCATGAGGCTGGAACAACCCAGCAACTCCCAGCTCCTCTGGAACACTGAGTCCAGTGACTCCCCGCGTCGGTGTTGCCTAGATGGGAGCAGTAGCACTGCCAGGATGAAAATGTAGGTTTGATTTTCTCCTAACTCACCCTGAGCTCCTTGCAGAGCTGGTGTGGAGAAGGGAGTCCCTGATTGCCTTAGGCAGGTGGCCAGACTGACCAACTGTGAATCCTCGGCTCCTGCTGCTGATGTGGTGGAGATAAGGGGGGGCTTGTCTGCAGTGGAGCTGAGGCAGGACTTTTAACCACCCTGCTGTTTGCCCTGACTTCTTCAGGGTCCTTCTAGGCTGCTTTCTGCATCCTGGGCTTGGGCTCTGGCCATGCCAGCAGCTGTAAATCTATCACCCTCTGCTTAATCACCGCGGGTGGTGCAACCCCGGCTCCAGCTGGGCAGGGAGCAGCCCTGGGAAGGACTAACAGGCTCCTCGTTAGTCCTCTGCCCTGTTTGCAGTCTGGGCTGGGGGTCCTGCACACCAGCAGCTCCAGCACCAGCCTCAGTCAGGCGTGGTGCTTATTTACCTCTGATTTGATTAAAAACCCCTCTGATTTGCTCTGTATAGTCACAAGTAGTTTTCTCCTTTTTTTTTTTTTTTGCTTGCCGAAGCTGTTCTGTTGCTTAATTCAGTGTTCCCCATCCTTGTTGCTGCTTCTCAAGGGGTAACAATCAGCCATAGCCCAGGCTGGCAGCCCTCACTGGGGGCGGTGGCAGGGACACCAACCTGCCCATCCTTACCCGTGCATCTGCTCTCCCCTTCCAGTGGGAATTCCAGGTGGGGCCGTGCGAAGGCATTGAGATGGGGGATCACCTGTGGATGGCTCGGTTCATCCTCCACCGTGTCTGTGAGGACTTTGGGGTTGTGGCTACGCTGGACCCCAAACCGATGACCGGCAACTGGAACGGTGCCGGGTGTCACACCAACTACAGCACCGAGGAGATGCGGAGAGAAGGGGGTCTCAAGTGAGTCCTGAGGGGTCCCCTGGGATGTACCTGGGAGGTTGGGGTGTCCTTGGCCATGTGGAAACGTGCATCTCCCTACCTGGGTGGCTGCGCCTGGGTTGGAGCTGTCCCAGCTCATTATTTTAAAAGCAGCTGGTGGTATGAGAGTGTCCCCTGGGCTGTTCTTGTCCCTGCACAGGAGGAGGGGGTGACAGCCTTCCTGACCATAGGAACACCCCCCAAAGGGCAGGTATCAGTCTCTTCCCCCAGGAACCAGCAGCAGGACAAGAGGGCACAGCCTGGAGCTGCCCCAGGGCAGGTTTAGGTTGGCCATTGGGCAGAAGTTGTTTGCAGAGAGAGGGATCAGCCCTTGGAATGGGCTGCCCAGGGAGGGGGTGGAGTCCCCGTCCCTGGAGGGGTTTGAGCAGAGCCTGGATGTGGCATCAGTGCCATGGGCTGGGTGACAAGGTGGGGTTGGGTCACGGGTTGGACTCCATGATCTCAGAGGTCTTTTCCAACCTGGTTGATTCTGTGATTGATCCAGCACCACATCCACACCTTTTTGAGCACTTCCATTGAATCATAGAATGGTTGGGGTTGGAAAGGACCTTAAAG